TTCTCTTTACTTTTATTAAAATATCTGTGAAAACCAGAAGTTGAAGCATTAAGTTAATTTTCAGAAATATTTTGAGCAGCCGAAGATATTTTTATTATGACGTTACAGCAGAGCAACACAGGTGTTGGCGGGAAGCTGGTGTCTAAGTAACTCTGCCTTGTTTGAACAGCAATCACAAAGACTGGTAAAAAACTTTAGCTGAGGAGGAATGACCCTCATGATTATAGTTGTTCAGTTACTAGCAGAATGTGTAGCAAGTGTTCCTTTGGTCCTGTGAGATATATAAAATATATAGCAGTTATACTTAACCTAAATTGAATGTATTTTAAGCTGTGTTACCTATCTTTTTTTTTTACAGACAACTTTGTGGCAAGATGTATTGACTAGGTTCAGTTACAGTGGTACGGCTCTCAGTTTACAAAGGTCCTGGGGAGTAGACCCAAGGGAGTAAAGGGAGGCAGTTAAAGTGCAGTTGAGGTAGATTTTTGGGATATGCTAGTTCAGTGCAGTGCTGCTCTGTATTTCAGCATCTCGTGTCCCTTATCAATTTTAAATGTCAAAGACTGTTGCTGATCTGTAGCTTGTGGTTAATTTATATTTTATCTGCAGCTTCTGCAGAATGTCTGCTTTATGGAGTTGATGTATTTCCCTGCAAGAATCAGAAACTTAAGGAAAAAGGACAAATATGTGGCTACTATTATTATAAAGGTAGCTATCCTCAGCACTGGGTTGAAGATAACCTGTGTTCCATCGACTCTGAACGGTGCTGAAACTACTTTCAGTGATCCTGCCTTACCTGATGGTTAGGGTGACCTTCATGAGTTTGGGAGAAGTCACACTCTGTCTTTGGGGAAGTTTGGTTTGACTCAGGGCCTGTGAAAGGGATTTCAGAGGCCAAAGTGCAGATTAAAGGGCTTTTAACATAAAGTAAACTATGTAAGAAGGTGAGTAAGAAACACAGTTATACACAAAAGTGGGGTTTGTTTTGTAGAGGGAAATATTTATATATCCTGATTCGGGAAATGACTTAACTTTGCAAATGTGTTGGTCTTATCCAAGTGTGTATTCCCATATCTCTCTGAATTAGAAAAGGGGGAAAATATCACAAGGAGTAATTTGTAACAGTATTAATGTGCATTTATGGAAAAATGATCACTTTGTAAAAGAGAAGTGAAAGTGATACCAGTGTGGACTTTTTATTTAAATTAATAGTGGTTTATATGTTAAAAAAATATTCTATTTGTAGATATAAGAGCCTCTGTCTAGAAATATGCTCAGCATGCTTGTCCCCAAACTCTTCCCATGTTCCTTAATCTGGTCCACGAGCCTTGCTCAGCTCTGCCAGCAGGTGGACATGCCAGTCAGGGTGGGAGTACTGTGGTATTTTCAAAATGGACTAGGTGTTGAAATTTACTTTGTGCTGTAGGAGAAAGAATCTGATGTTTGGTGGCACTCATAAGCTTTATAAACTCCTGGAGCCTGAAAACACTGTTTTAAGGTAATGGTTAGTCTTCGTCTGGAAGTAGACATAACTCTGTGTTTATGTGCTGGTTTGAGCTGAAGTAGAGTTAACTTTCTTCACAG